TTTGTGTTTAGTTTCCTTTCCTGCTGCTAAAATGTGTAACGCCAGGACTATTTCCAGAAAGGTAGGCACACTGTCTGCAGACTGTGATTTAAACTAACATTTAAACATCTTTGGTGCTACACAGTGGAAGAAGGATTACTGCTTTTGCCCTACAGGAAAAAGATCCTCAGTTCGAGATGTCAGTGGTCTCAGTGTATCCGGGTTGAATTTTTCACACAGTTGTGTGTGAGATTTGTCCAGGTATTCTTTATGCAAACATTCTAAAATATGCAAAAATAGGTTAATGTTTATTCTAAATTGAACATATGGTTGTTTTGTTTCAATATGTGGCCACGAGATGGACTGGTGACCTGTACAGGGTGAACACTGCCCTCGCCCTGCTGCTGCGATCGGCTGCTCCCTCCCTGCAATTCTGAGAAGGATGAAGCCGCACAAGAATGAAATGGTGAAAGAATAGCATCTGCTCTGTCTTAATGAACTTTCATTATCAAAGCAAATGGACATAAGTCTTCAATGATGAATCAAGTTGAATTAATAATTTGGGGGAGGCGGGGGCTAGTGGGAAAGAATCTGGGTACAAGGTTTCAGTGATTCTTAATAACTACCATCGTGTTGGTGCCATGAGCTGTTTTACCATGGGATATCCAATCCGATTACTTCAAATATTTTGCCTTTGTGTGTTACAATGATGGGCACAACTAGATAGCTGTAAAAAGTTAAAAAAAATAATAGGACAGCCTCAGCTGTTGAGGACCTTTGTGTCTTTCAATTTCTGAGTACCTTAGTGTTGTGTTCAACTAAACTATATATAATTGTGTGAAACCAGTATGTATATATATATATATATGTAAAAAAAATGTGTATATGTATATAAATATATGTATGTATGTGTATATATGTATATAAATGTGTGTATATATATATATATGTGTGTGTGTGTGTGTGAAACAAGTTTAGTCAAACACAACACTAAGGTACTCAGAAATTCAAATACCGATGGGCCATCGTCGTGCACGTACTGTACACCCATTTCTTCTTTGCTTCAGAGTTGCCTCTGATTCACTAATAAAACACACCTACTGTATAAAGAGAATGAGGATTCTGGGAAAAGTTGCAGTCAGAAGGAAGTGTCCTAAATTCTTGGTATATTCAGTTATATATTATAAATTTAATGAATAATTAATTATTATTGTATTATATCAGTTACAATAAAGCCGAATGACGTCAGACCAGAGTGGGTTTCTTTGAGTCACCTGGGCCAAGTAAAGTATCTTTGGATTAGTAAATTTCTTGTTTGATCTTAAAGCAGCACTGTGGTGTATTGAGTCAAAACTAAAAAAGTCTTCTGTGTAGGTACGTATGTGCGTGTATGCAATCACAGCTTAAGCTGTTTTTTTTCTATTTTCTTTTCATCTACTCACAATTATTAATCACCACACTTAACACCTAACACCAGTAACCCTGCTGGTGGAGGTACTGCCCACAAAATGATGACCTTTTCACTCCTGCATTTCCATTATATAAGGAAGTACGACAGTTAGCAATTTGTAAATGTGTTTACACTATTAAAAAGAAGAATGTTTTGTTTTTGTTTTCTATTGTGTATGATTTGACATTTTACAATTTTATATTTTCATAGTGTGTATTTAAGTGCTTCTTAAAATCAAAAAAAGAAAAAATCACCATACAATGACTCTGATATTCTGTAAATCTGCCGAACTTTGACGTAAAACACTGTAATAGTGAGTGTACTCTGTACTGAAAGTCACGCAGGTGAAGTCGCACCTTGAAGGACGGCATGTGTGCCACGTTGTTGGTCAGTTAGGTGGTTAACTGGTTATTGGGCAGTTGTACTTTGTACCCTTTTGTGTCAACATCATTTGCTCACTCTGCCTCCAAAAGAATGAGTTGACTGAGTGGATGTGAGACACATGTCATGTTATTACCTTTATGGCTGGGAAGAGGTTGTTTACACAGTAAGATTGTGAGCAAGTACAAGTGGCAATAAAAGAGAGCACTTGTATGATGCTGCACAATAGCCCACAGCTAAGCCTAAGTAGGTCGAACTTCAAAATTCAACATCAAAACTAAATTATTTTCTAATATACACAAGAGAGTGGTTGAGTGTGTAATATTTGGTTTTGATTTGATACGAGAGAAATGAACAAAGAGATGACTTTTAGCCTGATAAATATAGCAAAAACAATTATGCAAGAATATCCAATGCTAAAAACTACACACGATTAAGTTAATAAGATCACTAAGGGAAAAAAGTGAACACACAAAATAAAGTTTAGTAAATAATAAATGAATACCCTAAATCATAATGGTTAAAGATTTACCTCAAATCCTGTAAATTTCACTCTAAGAGCACTGCACCTCGCTCTGGATACAAATGACTTTGTGCCGGTAGACTAATGTATAACAAAGGAGTTGTATTTTAGTCAAAACAAAGATGACATTTGAGGATGAGCAGTATAGAGTGTAATATCTATATGTATATATTACATATGTAAAATGGAGAAATAGCATAAAGGACTTACAAAAAGTGAAGAAATTTAGCAATGATTTTAGAAAATATATTTTGAATATAGACAGGCACATAAACCGGAGTAAAATACACTTACTAATAATAACAATTACTAACGATAGCAGCTTCAAGCAAAGGCGTACCTATTACAAACAAAAGTTTGTTTAAAAAAATTGTAAATTAAAATAACAATATAGAGCAAGAAGAAAACTGATGTAGTAGTATTATTAGTAGTAGTAAGAGCAAAGGAGAGAGAACTAAAAATTAAAAAAACAAAAACTTTACTTAATGTAAGCAAAAATCAGTTATTACCAAATTATTAAACAAATAAACAAAAACGAATCTGGACTTAACAAAAAATAAGCACAACTGGCTTGATTTCAAACAGCATATGCTAAACAATTGCTGAAAGCTATCCCGGATGTTAGACTACAAAAGACAGTAATTGTACAACATGATAATTATATATATATATTTTTTTTCTTTTAAATCAGAACTCCCCTTTGTATACGGTCAGCAAATCTACTGTAAATGATAAGGTTGGTTCTCTGACTGTAAATATAAACACCCATGTAAAAATGTTCCAATATTTTGTGTTTATTTGCCTGAGATAAGCTTGAGGTTGGTGCTTGGATACTGTACTGTACGTGCTGAATACTGAGATACAGGTGTACACAATATACACAAGACGAACCTTCAATGGATTGAATCATTGAAGTATACTGTATAGTTTAACAAGTTACTAACGAGAAATGAATCTCGTGCTCAGAGCTGTTCTGCTCCTTAGTCAAACAGTACTGTGATGTCCCAATCAAGGAAGTTCAACGGTTTCTTAACACTGACTGTAATCTTAACATTTACTGCCCTTGATAAACAATGGGTGCCAAGTATTTACGGTCTTAAAAATATCTAGGTTGTAGGTTTGTTGGCATGTTAGTTATCAGTTGACCAATAATCACCCCGCAGACTGCATTAAGTTGGCCAAAAACGTACACTTCAGCTTCTATTTGAGCCTAAATTCAAAGTTATTAAACTCAAATAAGCCGAAAGCTATAAAAATACTGAAGGATACTTAAAGCGAGCTTATAGTAATAATAATTTAGCTAAATTATATCCTTAGTCTTATTAGCATGTCCAAAAATGAAATGGAAATTAGAAGTACAGGGTTGTGAAACTATTTTATTTTAACATAAGACATTAGACATGTACAAAAGCCAACAGGAAGATTTGGTCAATTATGTCAATCCAATTTCCCACACTTGTAGCATTTCGTCTTGTCAACTGTCAAATGTAAATGACCAAAGCAAACATATGCAAAACGTTTCAGTGCAGCCAAACACAGATAACAATAAACAGTCCAGAGGGAAAGTAGAGAAGCTTCCTGGAAAGAAAAAGCTGTACATAAACGGGCCTGTTTTCATGTGAGTGCTGAGCTACTGTAGTGCAAATGGAGCAAAGCTTGTTTCCACAACAGGTCAGAGCTTGGATGTCAAAGACTGACCGTTTCAAATATCGGTACACTAGTTGTTCCCTTTCCATTGGCAGAAAGGGAACACGATTATTATACCTACTTTATTTTATTATTTTATTTTGCTATGACTATTGTTTCGTGAGAGCAATCAATCCTGATAGGTGAACTCTTTTTCAGAACTCTGCAATGACTTTTTATATATATATATATTTAAACCACTATCATGTTTTCTCTACAGAAGCTTTTATGTTTGTCCTGGGCGTTGTACCTGTAACCAATGGCTACCATTTTTCACCTCCATGTTTGAACAGTATAAGTGGCCTGAGAGGGACAGCATCTGCTCTTACTTTTGATAATGGATTAATCCGTGCTGTTGTTCTCTCTCAGTCTGCAAAAGTGTACATGGATAGCCAGCCTGTCGAGGCAGCAGAAGTTTTTTGCTTAGAAGTGCACTAGGGTGTAATCAACAACAGTTTATGACTAGTTCACTGTCACTGATATTTTGATGCGATTTTACTCCCTTGTCACTGAGCCACCATCTTATCAAAGTGGAAAGATTAGTGTGTTCCTGCAACGTCAAATCAAAGCAAATGTGAATAGAAAAAGTGTCGTTGGTTAGATCTCCTTTGAATGAAAATACAAGTAAACTTTAGTCACCACTGCCTGGTAGCAGGTCACTGAGTCACACCTCTGCGACAGAAATCATACATTTATAAAAAGTATGGAATATCTGCCCGTTGAATGAGATTTGCCATTTCCATTTGCATGTGAACTGCAAATAAAAATGTCTTTTTTTTTCTTGGTATAATTTTGCATAATCATTGTGTTTCGTTGCTCTACTTGATGGTACATTTTCTCAATGTTTTAACCTCTGATAACTAACAGAATCCAGGCCTTGGATGAGCTTCCTGTGTTTTACAGACTAGCACTGTGGGACTCCAGCAACAGACCACTGGTTGTGGTTCTCCCTGCTTTGACTGATG